AAAAAATATTTTTTGTCCGATTCATCGATTAATCGAAAAAATAATCGGCCGATTCATCGATTTTTAAAATAATCGTTAGTTGCAGCCCGAAGAACAGGTAATGGTTTTAATACAAAATATGATGGAAACTACTCTGATATGAGGGAACGCAATGTAAATAAACAGAAAAGGTGAGTTGCAAAAGAAAGGTTAATCTGAAAAATCAGCGTCTGTTCCGCATGCCACTATAAGCACCCTAGCTGTCCCACATTTGTTTTTTAGGTTCTGGTCACCCCATGGAAGAAGGGTACAAAGGATAAAAACATTATTTCAAAGCAAATAAAAAGGTTCTGCAAACTCAGAAAATAGAAAAACACTGAAGTCATGAAAAGGAAACAAATAGTAAAAATGGCAAAAACTGCCAGATTAGAACACCTGCAAACGTTGCTAGAAGTACCGGATGTTATTATGGATTAATTTCAAATCTTTCTTTTAGATAAAGCTTATAGTTAGAGTGGCTCAGGTTATCCTGAGCTATCTCTACAGTCATGCTGCTATAGGCTTAGACTGCTGGAGGACAAGGAGCTCATGTGGATACTGAGAGCTTGATCCACCTGTAGGTTTGTTCAGGACCAACACCACCCATCAGGTTCATAGATATAGAAAGTTTCCATGGTAACCGCATCCTCATGAGTGTAAAGTCACAGATCTGCTTGTGCTGATTACAACGCAAGACTCTGAAACTATGAGGATGATTTGAAGCATGGCCGATATAAGGCAGGCGTTTTTGAACGAATGCAGCACTCTGCAGACGTGCTACCTTGGTAAAATGGAAAGTTAATTATCGCTTCATGCCCAATCTCCGCTTTGGAAGTGAATCACCGTTACTCGCACTAATGCGAACACAAACACTCGCGTCACTTGGCAGCAATCTCCTGAGGGCGGCGGAGCGGGCGATGATCTTACAGACTGTAAAACCAGCCAGTCACTGCTGGCATAAAGCCGGTCTCCATGGTAAGGGGTTGCCTAGGGCGACAAATGGCTCCCGTCAGACAAATTGATGAGCGCCGATGGGGAGGTACGCACTCCATCACGCGGCCTGAGTCCTCCCGTTTCAGCTGGGCTTGCTTTGGGCCCGCTAGCGTCTAAATGAGACGTGATCCTAAATGCCTGCTGCAGTTCAGCTTCAAACGCTCCAGATCGTTACGGCAACCAGTATCCCTCTCAGATGGGAGGAAGAACAAACTGGACATGTTCGCTCAGGAGATTTCAGTTAAAGCCGTCCGTTCACAGCCCCCCCTCCCCTCTGCTGATGCACAATGAATAGGGAGACTTAATTCATCCATGCTTGTTTCTTTCTTAGGTGCAGCGGTGGGCCTTTTCACACCTTCCTCGCTCTTCTTCCTCCTCTCCATCATGCAGCTGTCAATATGCACAATCTTCCCCTTCTCACATCCTTTTTCTGAGACGGCAGTTTGACGGGTTTATAGCTGCTGAAGAGACACTATGCAGTGTGGGAAAGTATGCACCAGTGGGGGGGGGGGGGGGGGGGGCAGGGGCATGCCTAGCACCTCACTGAGAACAAAGCGGAGGAAAAGTGGACAGAAAGCTCCGACGGCGGCGCGTCACTTAGTCTATCCTCAGTCAGGTGAGAGGCGGTGAAACTTCCTCCTAGTTTCTCTCACCTTCACACCTCAGCGAATCTTCCTGTCAGGTGGGCGTCTTGCACAGACGCCACAACCTAGATATGTCCAGATAAGAACTGCTGTCCGCCGTTTCTGCCTTAACCAATTAAATATCCACCTGGGTAGCAAAGTCCGGCTTCTGCATTCGATTTAAAAACACTGTCAGGCCCGTCAGACCTAGTTTTAACGTCTCGGGTGTACGAGTCGCCCATTAGTCATGGGCGGGTACGATGAATGCAGGTAGTTCTGTCCTCGCCCAATGTCAGATTATTAATGGAATTAGCAAGAAAGTTTTACTCAAAAGTCCAGAAAAGTGAGACTTTTTAGGATGAGAGGAAAGTCAGGAAGAAAAACAGGATTAGAGATGCTGAATGCATCGATTGATTAAAATCAAAAAGGATACGAGAGGTTGGTATTGCTGAAACCCACCCGATACTTTGAAATTACACCTAATTTGTCTGACTAATATAGGCCGCAGATATTAATTATTTTAGTGATTGATTAATCTCGATCAGTTTTTCCCCAATCAATTTATTTTTTCTGAGTATAAACCAGGCTTCAAGATGTCTGGAAGGTTTTCTATCTTATGACCATCAGACTGTTCTCCAAGTTCTCACAGGTCCTTCCTTGTGTGTGTGTCGATAGCTAAACGTAGCTACATTTCACTGATTCAATCCAACCTCGGCTGATCGGAAATGGATCGGGACGTGTGTACAATAGGGTTGTCAAAAGTATCGATACACAAAAGTTGTATCCGGATACAATACTCATTTTCAAAAGTATTGATACAGCCATCTAAAATGCAGAATAGTGGAAAATGCACTTTCTGAACACTGTGTGATTGAATAATTCTGTGCCTTTTTCAGTTTCAGACTGAAAAATATCTGCAAAACATAGCCAAGGAAGAAAACATTTTTATTTTGTAAGTTTTTTTTTAATCAAGCTTGCTTAATATTGTGCACAGCATGCAACCTCAAAATATTATTCTTATTGTTTTTTTTATTTATTTATTGTATTTTTTTAGTAACGAAAATATTTGTTGAATTTTAGATTCTTTGTTTTTATTCTTGTGGTATCCAAAAGGGTATCGAGTATCGAATACTTAGTATCGGTATCGAGTTGAAAAGTTTAGTATTGTGACAACACTAGTGTACAAGTACCAAGCGTTTGATCGGATTAAACCATTTAAGCATGCATGGACCGTCTGATTTCGCAGAAAAACATCACGCTGGTGTTGCACACATGCGCAGTGAAGAATTTTTTTACTTCAAAACATCTGAATTGGTTTGTATGTCGACGCCAATTAGAACAGCCCTCTCTTTCAGAATGAAATTACTTTCCAATCGGACCGAATCAGAATAAAACCTCCAGTCTGACAGGTTTACGTTAAATATTTTCTGATCCAATAAGGCCTTCAATCTCATCATTTTTGTCAATATAAAATTAGATAGAAAACTTTGAATCAATCTAAATAGATGATCTGGTTGAATTATAAAGGATTAACTAATCAACTGATGAGTATTTCAATTAATCAATCACCATTAATCCTTTTAGGCTTTATTATTAATCAAGATCAAATGTGTTTTTGGGCAAAAACCCCAGATTCCTGCAGAAATTGTTGAAGCATGGAAATAAAGTGCTGCCTGTTAAGCTTTGACTGTCTGGATAAAAACAAAAACAGAAGCTAATGCCTAAAAGCAGAGAAGCTGCCTTCCAACATCAGTCAGACAGGCCATAAATCCACAAAATCCAACTAAAGTGTTTCCACAGCAACCTGCCACCACAATTGGCTGTTTAATTACTGAAAGAAGGGATTAGAGTTAAAAAGGAAGAGGAAGAATTGGAGACAATGAAAAGCAGGTGGGAGGAAACGAGACAAAGACTTTTGATTCAAATAGGATTCATTTGCAAAAAGGGAGAACGGGGATGTCTCCTCCCCCAGTCAGGTAGGAACCGGTTTGACCCAGCCTGTGGCCGTTACACCAGTAAAAGTCTCCCGACATCAATCAGTTCAATCCTCAGTCCAAGTACTAAACCTGTACTGTAAAACTGTAGTGATACTAATCAAATAAGTCTGAAATATGAGAGACCAAATTCCAAATTTATTCAAACGATGCAAACAGCAAAACTAACTTGGCTTATTAAAAAAAAACCAAAGCGGTGCAACTGCAAACACAACCAGATAAATAGTCATCTCATGATAAAAACGATAAATTCAAATTGTTATTGTGGGGAATTTCTTTGACGATATATCGCACACGATAAAATATCGCCCATCCATAATAGGCAAGGTCTTCTGCTCCCCTGTAAAGGGGTGGGGGTTGCGATGATAGCGGGAAGGGATCAACTCAATTGCATTACCATCCTGCTATTGTGGTGGGATAGAGATTGGTGCTTTCAATTTATCGCTAAAGGTTCAAACAACTTAGGAAAAATTAGCGAGATTTGTCACTAGTTTCTTTCTTTTTTAAAGAAACATCATATATCATGAGCCGTGAACTTTTAAACGGTGCGGTTTCGTTGTACAGTGTGAGCTGTAGCTGCGTGCAACGTAAAAATAAAATAATCGTACAGAACAAAAAACTGTGGATGGTGTACGAAAGGCAGGACTAAAGTGAGTCATCCAGTTTAATGCAGGTGGAGTTTATGCCTGTATGTAGAAGACGGGAACCAGTAAATAACGGAACATCGAGAGGATCAGATACCAAAGTCGATATCAGGTACCGGAAATCATTGACCTTTTAGGTCATCGAACAAAGAAAATATGGAAACTGAAATAAGCAGGTTATCGTCAGCATAAAATCAATGGATCATGAGTGTTTCCCCACATTGAAATATAAAATGTTCATTGATATTAAGATATATTGTATAAAATGTCCACATAAGTGGAAAAAAGCTAAACAAAAAACTGGTTAAAACAAAAACCACACAGCATCAATCATCGGATGTACTTACGGTCTAGTCCGTTGACGTAGCGGATCGACACCTCACAGTGCCCCCAGACTGCACTGACAATGGGAAACAGCCTCTTTCCCTTTAGCCCCCTGAAGGCCACTCCCAGATACTGTCCATCCACCATAAAGCTCAGCGTCCCTTCGTCCATGTCCAATATCACCGTCAGGCAGTCTGGGAGCACGAAGGACTCGTCCGGCTCCAGGAAGGTAGGGTATGTAGGCGCTGACGAGTTTGCAGGTCTGTTCTTTCCGTCGTGATAAAGTCTATTCCGGCCCAGGTCCCAGCCCCAGGACTCCGAGTCCGAGCCCACCAGGGCCGTGTAGCCAACCGAATGCAAAGGCGCCTCAGCTGTAGCCACTCCTACTACAGCGTGAGTGCCTCTTTGTCTTGTTGGCCAGTGAATCCTCCAAACATGGAGGCCCCTGGTGTAGCCTACCTTCCCTCGAATGCAGTCCGTGCTCTGGGCCACAGGGTGCCTGTGAAACGTCAGCTTGTCGTCCTCCTTGACAAAGACGTTAAGCGATCGGTCATCGGGGTTCCAGGCGTGGCGAATTTGTGTCTCGGGGGTGGCCGGCGGCATGTCAAGAAGTAAATCTAGTCTTGGTGGCCGACAGAAATCCGGACCCCGTAGTTCACGACGCACTGGGCGATATGAGGGCTCCCCACGTACATCCACTGACTTGATGCTGCCAGAGATCTTCTGGCCCATGGCTTGGGCGATCCCAGGGAGGAGAGGGAAGAGGGGAGGGAAGAAGGATGGACAAAGGGTGGCGATGAGGGGCCAGTAGGTCCGGACGTTACCTCATGGGCGCACAGGGATGCTGCGATACCAGTGCAGAAAGATGCTGCTAAGCACTCCAGCTCTACAGCCCAAGGGGAACACAATCCTGAAACACAAGAACACATAATCCCCATTTGTGTTTGATATTACACATCTACATGGACTAGGTACTGGCATCAGGGTATCCAAAACCCTAATAGACCTTAAAGTCGTAGGGTAGCAGCTGTTCAAACCGTTGCAGTTGGTGCCCGACTTTACACGAGTGACTAAAGTGAATGTGATTTGTCGTTTATCAAGGGGGCAGGATTGTTGTAGCTGAAGTTTCGCAAGCACTTTGGTTGTGGCCGGTTTGTTGGAAGCATCTTGCTAACCAGTTAGCAACTTAGTGCTAATAGGTTCCCAATGGGAAATTCCATTGGGACCAAGTAGCACTAAATTGGTGACTTAGAAACGACATTGTCAAGGAACGCTATGGACAGCGGAACCATGCAAGAGGAGGAGAATTTAGTGTCGGAGGTCGTGGATGAGTCTCCTCCGTCATCCATTTTTTATTTAGAGGAGGAAAGCGGGGACGAAGATGTTGTGGAAGAGGACGCCAGGGCGGCAGAAGCTTGGTTTGGTGTAGAAGGCTTCCAGCCGTACATGTTTGAGCCCTTGCCTCGCAACGCTGCCAGTTCTGTTAGCTCTACTGATAAAGAGTATTTTATATACATGTTTAAGCCAAAATGATTTGACATTCAAATATGACTTCCCTACGACTTTAACGATTACCTTCTTATTCGGTTCCTTGAGTTGTTGGGTTCAACCTTTCCTCTTCTAGGTGATTACTCAATGCTAGTTAGGGAACACTTTCTAGTCAACTAGACGAAAACCATTTAATGCTTTTTCAATATTGTCAAAAATACTGTAGTAAATAAAATACTGCAATTAAAATGTACTTCTTGGCACATAAAACAGGTAGTGAACAAAAAGATAATAAAAATAAAAATGAAGAGGAACCAAACAGAGGAAGAGGGGAGAGTTGGCTGAAGAAGCTGGTGTCGTTTTGGCCGCTGCTAGGAGATGCTAACCCAGATGGAGAGCTATGCTACAAAGAGCTCTAGTTTCTAACTGAGGCTGTTAGCGGTTAGCATCGGGATATAAACATTTTCCGATATTAGAACAATGAGTTACAACAGAAAGATGCTAGTGTTAGCTTTCCTATGTTTACTGTGTAGGTTACAGTCCAGTCAGACCCAACCACCTCATCTACCCAGCATGCATTGCACAGGTGAAAAAATAGCTATCTCCATGGGTGGAAAATACAAAGGATACACTAATTTTGAAGTAAATATGAGGGGTTTTTGTCGTATCAAAAAGTTAATATCAAAATTACAAGATATTCAGGATGACATGGTCAAATACTCACAGATTCCTTTAAGTTTCTGATATTCTGACTTATGGTGATTTTAACTAAATCATATTTTACCCCTTAAAAAGATTTCGCAGGGTTGTTATGTAGCAGTAACTCATATTTAAAATTTTAACATTTATGGAGTGAATTTTGTACCACTATCATTGATTTTCTATTTATTTTAACAACTTTTGACATATCTCACATTTTATTTTTTTTCTTCAAATTTCTCTTTAAAATGTTTTATGAACAGCATTATAAGTCAAGAGAACATGATGTAAAACTCAACTCAAAGGACCGCATTTCATAATGCAGAGAAATTAAATCCAACATCTATATCTAAAATTTAAAAAACGAATTATAAATTCAGAGAAATCTGCAAAGTTACTTTCAAAGGCTTTTTTGAATAAATCTTATTTTCTCCGTTATTTCTTTTTTCTTTGAATTTCCTTTCACAAAACATGTTCTTTACAGCAGTAATGGAATAAAATTCTCTCCATAAGCAATCACAGGAACGATTGTTTAACCAGTTAAGGTGAAGGTTATAATTTTGTTTTTGGAAGTGTTTGTATAAATACAACACATTTGTACTTCTAACCCAGTCCTCTACACATCAGCTGGTAAAATATTCCCAGTTCATATAATCCCCAGATACTGTTCTCCAACTAGATTACATTATTTGAAAGACCAGTGTGTTTAAATCAGCTCCAGTTAGAAAAACTATCAACTCTGAAGCAGTTTATATTAAAAAGAAAGCTGAAATTTAAGGATCGGCTAAAAGCCGCAGACTAATTTTAATCGTATAAACAGCGGAGCGGCATTTAACGTGTTAAAAGCTGCAGCACCAACAGAACTCCTTTGTCCGCTGCGTCTTCAAACACTCAGATGTTACACAATCCCCTGCGGTTTTAGAGGAAACTCCACATGGTTCTTCCAGGGAAAGTACAGCAGCCGGAATGAACCCATTCATCTTAAATCCTTCCAAGTTCAGGTTTGTTAATGATCGCTTCAGAGTAGACAAAAAAAAACAAACAGTAAATGGGAAGAGGTTTCTACTAAAGATGGGAGCCAGCGGCTAAATGTGGTTGAATGCATCCGTTATGCTATCGCGTTGCATGACCCCAACTTATCAGTCACTTTTATGCTCTCAGTTTAAACCAAAAAAGTTAATGATCCCATGATTCTCAAAAAAAAAAAAAAAAAAAAAAAAACACAAAGTAGGATAATTTCTATTGGTCTGCTGGTCGGTAGGGACATTTTTATTGGTTATTAAAGTGAAAATAAAGACCTCTCTAAAACCCGAAATGTAAATGAACGCAACTCTTTAAAACTCAATCTGAAAAGGAGAAATATAAAAAATATAAACATAAATAAATCTAATAAACTTACTCTCAAAACATGTTTCGGTAATTTATTCCAGATTATGTTTTATTCCAATATATGAATGATGAGTTAAAACAACAGGAAGATGCTAATGTTAGCCTTCCTATGTTTAATCAGTAGGCTACAGTCCAGTCAGACCCAACCACGTCATCTACCCAGCATGCATTGCACAGGTGAAAAAATAGCTACCTCCATGGGTGGAAAATACAAAGGATACACTAATTTTGAAGAATTATGAGTTTTTTACGTATCAAAAACTTTTTTTTTTTAAAGGTAATAGGAAAACAACAACATATTCAGCATGTTCAAATACTCATGGATTCGTTATGGTGATTTTAGCTAAATCTTTGTATTTTAACCCTTAAACAGATGTTATTTCCCATGGTTGTCATGTAAAAACGCTTAATTATTCTGATCTCATGATTCTAAAAACAAAAAGTAGGGGGGGTGATAATTTCTATTGGTCTGCTGGATGGTGGCAACATTTTTATTGGTTATTAAAGGTAAAATAAAAACCTCTTTAAAACCAGAAATGTAAATGAATGTAAGTGTTTCAAACTCAATCTGAAAAGGAGAAATATAAAAAAATGAAACTTATAAAGACAAATAAATCTAACAATAAAGTTACTCTAAACTAAGAAACAAAAATAATCTAGGATGAATGACCTAAACATTTTTTTAATTTAGAAAAACATGTTCATTGTTTAACAGAGCGAAATTCCCTCCATAAAAACAACCAGCCCAAAGGCAACCGCCTCACAGTGGGGCCCCTGGCACCCGAAAGAATGACCCTAGCGGCAGCGTTCTTCGTCCCGCACGACCCCCTGTCCACCTGACCCCCCCCCGCCCAATGTACAATATGTATGTGATGAACGGTTTGTACTGAAACTGAAATCTTTATTACAATGCAAATTGTTGTTGACAAAGATTGATTAATCGATTGATTGATAACTAAGATTTTTAGTAAACTATTCTTATAGATCAGTGTTAAAATAGATCAATAAATTACTCCAAATAGGTTAAAGAAAACCATCTACTGGACTTTGTTTCCAAGTTTGAAGACGTTTCTCTTCCATCCAGGAAGCTTTTTAAATTCAAAATGTCAAAAATAGCGTTGAGTTGCTTTATCCAGCAGCACAACAAAGCCTCGTTTTAGTTTAGAAAACATGCAAATTTAAACAAACGAACGGGTCCCCCCCTTTGGAACGGGCAGTCATTGGGTTCTTTGTTAGCCTGTAATACCAGATACAGGTCTTTGTCTCTAAGAGGGGGTCGTTAGAGGGAATTGTTGCTTCACTGCATCAGGGTGGGGGCCACGATAATAGCTGGAAGGGATCAACTCAATTGCTGCGTTTTAGGTTTTTGAAATCTGCGTCCCCTCCCCTCTGTTTAAGGTTCGTTTTTCTTTCTTAGAATAAACGGCTTCCTTCACGCCCCTCTCAAACCGCCTGTCTTCTTTGTCCACAATGTGAACATTCTGGTCCTCCAAAGAATGTCCTTTGTCCATCAGGTGTAGATGGACAGCAGAGTCTTGTCCAGAGGAGGGCGCTCTTCTGTGTTGGGCCATGTGTCTGTGGAGAGGTTGTTTGGTTTCTCCAATATAAAGATTAATTGAGAAAGCTTCCTGGATGGGAAGCGAAAGGTCTACAAACTTGGAAGCAAAGTCCAGTGGATTGTTTATCAACTTTTTTTGGAATGATTATGACCTGGATGATAAATAAATCAATAAGTCTTTATTCTTTTTTTTCCCCCCATAGTAGAACTCCGATTTAGATTTTTAGCCAAATTCAATATGTTCTCCTACTTCATTCTTCCCCGGCTCATGTTTAGTTCAGACTTAACACCTCATTGTTTCCTTAGTACCTGAGACATGTGCATAAAACATATTTTTTGTCATACATAAACCACAATGGCCGTTTTTCGACTGAAACTAAACCCAATGAGGGATAAAATAACCACCTCCCAATTCTATCAAAGCTGGAGCAACTTTTGGCTTCAGGGTGAGAGCAGTTAAGCAGCCATGAAGAACAGGAAGCTATGAATAACTCTTTAAAAAGCTGGTGAAGATTTTTAGTCAACCAGGTCATAATTCCAAAAATATTTAAAAAAAAACAATCCACTGGACTTTGCTTCTAAGTCAACCAACGACAATGACCCCCCTTTCAGAGACATAGACAGGTATGGGGCTTTGCAGGTTAACAAAAGAAGCCAAACGACCCCCATTCCAAGGGGTGGACCCGTTCATCCGGTTCAATTTGCATGTTTTCTAAACAAAAAACAGGCTTTGTTGGGCGACTCTATAAAGTTTCGAACTCAACGCTATTTCTGAC